AAGGCCGTTGAGGGTGCCATCCGTGTCTAAGCTAGTCTCGTGTCACTAGATCCCCAGATACCAAACCAAAAAGCTTAGCTATGTGAACCGAAAAATTTTCACTGCACTGACGGGTTACCACAAAAAACTCTTATACCCATACGAAATCTTTTTCAATGACGCGGTCTTTTACCTTTCTCCTCCATGTACAACCTTGCAGATACCCCCAGAGAAGAACATCGTCCCATGGCACGTCCTTCCCTTTCCCATACCACGCTCACCTACAGCCGGCCCGTGCCGCCGGTAATGGCCCGGTCAAAGCTTGAACTGAAAAATGAAATCAATGACAAGTAGGCTCAGGACAGTTTCACTAATTAAAACCTACCCCGCCGAGAGCCGGAAAAATTTAACCGACTTCGAGCGCCTTCAGAGCCATCAGACTCTGCAAGCAGATACGTGCGACATTGATGGATTTTGGAATTCATGGATTAAAGCCTTAGGCAGTCCTCTATGCGAGGCTCTTCCTGCGTCGGGGACGGCCGACTGGCGTGACTGCGGCTTTCTATATACATAAACCTCTGCCTCAAAACGAGGATCATTTGCTATTGGTTTAATTTATGTTCTTATTGCTTCAGAACATATCGCCAGCTTCAATCCTCTTTGTGAGCTTACTGAGAGCCTGTAAGAAGTAGCTAAATGGGCCAAACGCAGTTTTCTGAATATGCACGACGAAACATATCCCAATCATGCAACAAGTTGATCGGTCGACGAAGACCGGCTGTGTCCAGCCTCGGCCAGCGCATCCAGTGTCAATTAAGGAGCAAAACTGCGAGAGTGGAGCTGCAGTATGATTTCGTGATCTTCTTTCATCTTGAAACTCGGAGTCGATCTAGACCGCTTTGTCAAAGCAACTTGTTCCAAAAGAAAAACCTTTGTCATCCGTATGATACCGAGTAAGATATCAAAGATGAGTTTCAGTGGGCTCAGACGGATGACTACTTCGCCCCTTTTGGGATGCCGCTCTTTGAAGAAGAGAAGATCGCGCTTCGTGCCAGATAGGCACCATTTTCAGAGGGCACTAATTTGACTACAGATGCGCAGGTGTTAAGTATCGTCGACATTGAGAACTGGACTTGGGGGTTCTACTTGTTTGATTACGAGTCAAAGTTTGACTTCGAGTCAACAGCTCAGCCTACAGATAGCCTCTTTGACAAGATTATGCAGGACTATCATGACCGTGAGTCGTGGCGCCTGAGTACACTCAATAACCGAAACAACATGCATCCCTTGTGAGAATATAGAATGGTGACGGCTCCCCTGTCGTCATGGTCCTCGTTCGCCTGTATATACCGTATTGATTGCACCACCCTCTTGACTTCATGGGCTGGCTGTTCTCAATTTACACAACGTCTTCGGCGCTGATACCCATTGCTTGTAGGCTCGTCGATTCCTCATTTTCTTCTGTGGCCTTGGGCGCACTGACGTGATGAAACTGCCCAAGCAAGAAAAGAAATAAAGCAATCCTCTAAACCGTCATTTAAATGACCTCTCTTGAGCCGTTGTATCAGGAATCACGTCGACGCTGACTTATTCGTACGGCGGTGGGGAACGAGGTCGCGATGGTGCTGCGCTGTCTGATCCAGGCAACAATGGTCGACATACGTCAGGCTTGCCTTTCTATACATACTTCTATATCGAGCACGTCGGTTCTTTCAGATATAGGATGACGATATGCCGACCCGGTTGACTCGGGTGGCGCAAATACCGTGGACTCCCCGGCTTACTCTTCCATATAAGTTTGAATTGGAAGCACGTGGGCTCGGGTCTTTGGCAAAACAGGTGTCAAAACACCCGATGCTGTAACGGCCGGAATCGATGACAGTTTAAATAAAGTGTCTGCGAGCGATACGATTTTGTTGAACTGGAAGTGTGGCTGCATGTACGATATATGACTTGATGTCACGAGGCACTCAATCGAAAGTAGAGGATGTTGAGGCTGTTTTCAAGTCTGTCCCTCTTGTTCATAAGGCCCCCCTCCCTCGGTCGTTTGATAAAGCCTTTTGTAGCAAGATGCCTCCCCAACGTGGCGGTCCCCCCTTTCTCGGTGGCGAGACTTTCGTTTCCACGGGTGAGGCAGGAGTACACTATGTAAAGGATGAGTGTTCGTGCGTACTCCTGGGCAGGTATATAAGCACCCCGCGGATCCAAGGGGGCGCCTTCGCAATAGGCGCACATCCTGAAGGGGGTCACTCGCCTCACCTGGTTGGCTAGGATACCTCGCGGCTCTGAGGCCGTGTGTGCTCTTAATCAACCAGATAGCGCTAGAAGATTCACTACTTGCATATCCAGTTTCTTCTGGTGACTGGCTAAGCATTACAGCACGATTGCCAATGCTAAAGATGTCATTTACTGTGACCTTAATATTGGAACTTGATGCTTCACTATTCAAAGTAATGATAGACGCAACAATGGATATCTCGTTCTTTTCATCTTCGGAGTACATTTCCTTCACCCACTGTCGAGCTCGAGTATACTGCTTCATATTATCGATATCATATGGCCTCAGATAGATTTCATCCAATGTAAGTATTGTAGATGATCTTATGTTGAATATATACCCAAGCTGGTCCAACAAGCTTTCTCCACGCTGACCAGTGATGTGGTAGCATCATACTATGATGACGGGTTGAAGCTAGAGATAAGGAAGGTACAAAGCAGCCTAGCCAGAATAAGCCTTGCGTATCAGATGAGTATGATCTGATAACAAGATATAGGTTTATTGCCGATCTCTGGCCAAGATAGGCTCAATCTGCTTTTCATTCGATCCGAAATACGATCTTCTATATCGAGATAGCCGATCGAGTAGAGGCATCGCCTTGCGTAAGGCTCCAGATGTTAACTGACGTCCAGTGGCAATGTCACAATAATCGCTGGGATAAAACTTGCATTTGCTTTGCCATGCTTCATATTGGAAATGGGAACTTGGCAACCGTAATCCCCGAAGCGTTTTCGAGTTAACAGTAGTGGTTGTTGCTGTGGTTGTGATGGTGGTGAATGTCTTGTTGGAGTTGTAGTTGTTCTGTCTTTGCTTTGTAGTCCTCATTCGAACGTCTCCTTTGTGGTGGCGGTTGGGCAGCGCGTGAGGTTGCGGTCTGTGGTGCGGAGGATGATGGTGGTGGTTGTTGTTGTGGTTGTGATGGTGGTGAAGGTCTTGTTGGAGTTATAGTTGTTCTGTCTTTGCTTTGCAGTCCTTGACGGTGTGGGTAAGACTTGCCAGCTCTATTAGAGCCTTCCTCAATAGGATCGCATAGCGATACTTTTCGAAATGTTCGATGCTGCAATAATCGCAACTGTTTCCCCTCTTTTGGTAAAAGATTGTCCGCTGCTTTCGGGCTCTAGTATGCTCCCAACGTGAATGCACCTTGCTGTTGTCGCCGCGAGCGATTAACAAACCCGGCCTCGGATTGGCAACCAGCAACATATTCTCTATGAAAGGACAATGTTCATGACGGAAGGAACTGAATTCTTCGTGGTATTTGAGAACGCCGAGTAGCACCGCCAGGCGTTCGATACCCATTAGGATATCGGCCACAATAATGTCGCTTCTTTCGACAGTCCTTTTCCAGATAATAGAAGCCTAGGATGATATCACCTCAAGTGTTCTGGCTCCCCACGTTTGGTATAGACCGGAAAGCCGTTTCTGGTCTATTGAAAATTGCGTTGGATTCCATATGACACAGGCTTCGTCGCCGCACAAGGTTCCACGAAAGCCCACTTCAGAGGGGACAGCAGGGTAGTCATTGTCGAGTCGCATCAAGAACAATAGGCGTAAACGATAGCCACTAACTTGCAGTGGACATGGAAAACCAGAGAGGCTTCTGGTGTGCAATGACGTGCAAATTGAAGGCAGCAAAAGCAATAAACAAGAAAAAGGCAAAGATAATACAAGACAAATAGACCCGCATTGTTCAATGCCATCTTCTTATGCGACAACCTTGTCAAGCATGACGATTCTGCCTGCATTCTCCAATAATTTCTTCTGCGCATGTCAAATGAACACGAAAAGAGCAAATTGTCCGGCCACTAGCCAGTGCATCGGTAGGCGAAAGATGTTAACACTAATAGGCTTTCACTGGTGCAACCGACTCATGTTGAGCTGGTTGTGGTATGCTACCTTGTGGTTGTCGGAGTACCAATGGAAGCACTTCATGTTGTTGACGGTGCCAGGATATCATCCCAATAGACAATAGCCCGGTAATTCCTTTCGAGGGACCCAGCTTATGAAGTCCGCAATCTTAACTCCATTCTGGAGAAGATAGTATGCAGATATTTCCCAGGTTCATTTGACCCTTGCTTAACAGCATAACGGGCCAATATTCCCCAAATGCCCCTGGCTGCTGCAAGCTCCCCATCTTCCTACTCCATTTTTGTGAAGATAGCATGCAGACCTATTAGAACCACTCTTTTAGTTCACAGAGTGCAGCGTCTTTCTGGTGGTAGATCGATGCAGAGGCAAACCGTGAGTATCTTGCTCTTCTCTCGTTTTCTGGACCAATGATTTGTCCCCTCTTTTTGTGATTCTATATGATTGCCGATAGTGGATGCAAGCTTTCTGAACATGGTTTGATCCGCTCGCAGAATGTCTGACAAAACGTTCGTATTCGAAATGCATCTACCCGGGATAGATGGTGAGGATCGTGGTCATCTGTTATGTTCCGGAACAACTATTCGTCCTCCTTTTCCTTGATTCTGCATAACTACCGTTGGTATATGCAGGCTCTCCAACCTCATGTTTGATCGCTCACAGAAGGTCTGACAAAACATTCGTGTTCGAAATCTCTCCTGTGGATGGGTTTCGCAGAGGCATAAGCGACTGCGACAAAGCCTCGTGTTGCTTGACCAAGTTCTCAACTTGATGAGCTTCATGGTTCTGTATTTGCGATGGTAGATGCAAGCTATTTGACTTCATCTTGTAGCGCTTGTACAACGCCTGACAGAATATTTGTGTCTAAACTTTATCCGGTGGTTAGATCTTGCAAGGATATTTGCAACTGTTATCAAATCTTGTATCGCCTAACCAAGGTATCGACTTGCTGATCAATTGAGAATCTAGCCTTTTTTCTATATTCTCTATTCTCGCATTCAGTGGAGATAATCGCTGTTCTCAACACCCATTTAGCAGCTTTATCCTGTGTATCATCTGTGCTGCGCCGGGTTATGCTCGTTTGCATAGCGAGAAACTGTCCAGCATATCAACAACGCTAATGATATGTCTGAAAACACAGATGAGAAAACGATGCGGTCATCAGCCGACCCATTCTCTATCCTTGCATTGAGTTGAGGTAGTCGTTACTCCGACTGCTTTTTAGCAGCTTCAACCTGTCGATTATCTGCTCTTCGCCAAGGCATATTGACCTGGACTTTAACAATTGTCCACTATGATAATGGCGTTTATGCTATGCATGAAATGCAGATAAGAGAACGCGGTAAATCTGCGAAAGGGCTGTTGGGGATCCCAGTGGAGATCTATTTGGACGCGAAGAATGAGGATGATGATGATGATACACGGCCATTGATGGCGGTGAATTCAGAGGACTCGTATTTCAACTGACGAGAGCTCTGGTCATTGATCGATTAATGCTTTATCTTTGCATTAAATCGAGATAATTATACTGTGGCTGCTTTCTTAATCGCTCCGTCCTTTCTATCAACTGTGCTGCGCCGAGGTACAATCTTTTGCATAGCCAGCGATCGACCAGCATGTCAACAGCGCCGATACCATGTATCATTAACAAAGCTATACGCGGGTTCATCGCGACCAGGTTTCATCAAGCCCTGTAGTTGACAATTAGTCATGGTCTAGTTCTTAACGCAAGAAGAAAGACTGTCTTACTCTGTCTTAAGAGGAATGTTGGCATTGATCTTATGCCATACTTCTCAAGAGAGGGCCCTCAGGATGTGCAGTTCAGTCGGCTTCTGCTATACCTGGCCGAACATCTGCTGCACAAAAGCAGTTCCTTCTCGTCGGTCCAACGCATTTTGGTGGTTGGCCTAACTGGTGATCATGGAGTAGAAATGCTGTACCGTCACAATAAAATAGAAAATGTGTGTTCGATAATATGGGCTGAGTAAAGTAAGAATTTTCACCTCGTTCCAATGTGGCAGGGATAGACTGAAAGACCCTATGCCACTGTCCAAGTGGTCTTTCTTTTTGGGTCGAAGAATACTTGTGTAAATATAGATCCACTCCAACACTCTCCAAGTTCTGCTTTGTGGTATGCAGTGCTGTTTTGCTGTAAGACCCTTTTGTCTACAGGAAAGGTCGACAGACTGGCAAACCTTTCTGAAGTGCCTTCCAGTATCCGCACTTCTTTATGCTGTTTCCAGAACGGCATACGGCGAATTATCAGCTTTGATATGCTGTAGTATGTTGCTTATGCCAGTTTCCATTTCTAAGGCGTACCAACTCCCGGCAATATCTGCATTCTTCAACACCATTCTTGGTGCAGTATCCAGATATATTAGAGCCTCTCTAGCAAATAGAAAGAGATCAGCCCGGCAATACCTTTCTAAATGTGCCAATATATGACTGGATTTCATACCTGGTGGTGAAAAATGCTTAGCATTGCACCGTTCGCATCGAAGCTTTCAAGTCAATCTGAACAGCTTCTGAGTTTCTTTAGGTGACTGGACTTCGCCTCTGTTCCAGCTCGCGAAGAGATCAAGAGTGATGCCTGTGGGTATGAGGCATGGAAAGAACTTTCTTTCCCTGAGATGGATCGCCCGTCACTGGAAAGATTATACTTTCAAGCGTTCAGTTTTTGGAATGATTGAAAGTAAGTTCTGGTAAGGTGAAAATAAATTGAGGACGACTGACCGTGCCACGATGTCAATGTCAGCACTTTGCAAGTGAGAACAGCTCCACCCCAGATTCTGGTAATAAGCCAAAGTATTCAATGGGTTTGTGTAGAGGGAAGGAAAGGATGAAGATAATGTTCAGCCCTTGCATCGGTTGGTTCTTGGTTGTGAAATAAGGACAAGTGAATGATCGCTGAAGTTAAGGAGACTCAGAATTTGAATCAGATACCTGTTCTTCAAGGACAAGAGTATTCAGTTATATATGTTTTTGACTGGAATTTTGAAGTCGATTTTCCGCAAGTATAAATTCACAAAGACTGCTTTGTTGCTCATAGACTAGCCAGGCGTTCAACGACCATAGCGCGTAGGTAACCTCAGGTCGATTTGTGAAAGAGTAGTGGATAGCTTCCTGATGTTCTTTCATCGAATTTAGCAAGCGACTATGACTGTATCGACGATGCTGCTTGTATCTTCCATTGTGCTTAAGCTTCCAGGTCCGGGATTGCTTAGTTGCCCGTGATCATACCTATTTTAGAATCAGGATATAAGGCCTCTGTGATAAGTGACACTGAACGAGTAAGCCTTTAAGCCCACTCGGTATGAGTGATTTCCGAAGACGCGATTCATGCGGTAGCGGTCGTCAAATCTGATCCCTTCATTGCTTATCAAGACGACAGAACTCGAGACACGATCCATCTCGCTATGAGATACATGAATGAGTTCGGTTTCGGCTTTGGAAATATCCCTCACCCTACCCTTGGATCAATAGTCGCAGACATTGGGCCACCATATTCTTCTGTAAAGAAGGGATGGACAGTAGTTTCCATAGACAAGACCTAGTAGCAATGAGCCCAAGTCAATAAATCCTTTCAACTGCTGTCCATCGCTGGGAATGCCTGGGTTGCGTGGCCGTTTAGACAACAGCATTCCTCTGCAGAATAATATAGCATACGAGAGAGTTGGAGGTATACAACTTCATGACGCGTTCAAGTATTATCTGGTCAGGTGTTGAAGACTGAGAACGGGACAGTTCAAGCACACATATGAATCGGTTTGTTGAGTATCCTCCATATCTTTGGTTGTTATCATTGATCGAGAAGGCTCAAAAGCACTTGACTTGGTTTCAATCCGCCGTCTCTAAGTGGTTACTTAGTCTTTCCGCCGCGATACCTTGTCGCAACGCATCAATGGCCCTGCAAATATCGCTCCTCTATCAAAGGCATCTTCATAGATCCGGGACAACCGAGGCATGTTTTCTAGGTCCGAAGAGTCGAACCAGATATAGACTGGCTCTTGCTTTCATAGAATTGCGCAAGCGGATATGGATATCATCCGATGTAAATCAGGGTCATGCCAGTCTCGATGATAACATCAGCAAGATATGGGCCAGTTTTGATACTGGACAACAGGCAAGAGATATAGCAGTTTAAGTCGCCGAGTTTCTGTACTGCATTTTATGCGGGTTTTCAGTTCAGTATTGCGACTGGCTGTTACTTATTCCGCTCAGGTGCATCATCTCTGTCCCGGTCATTGGGTTCAATGCCAAAGCATTGAGTGCCCTTCTTTGGTATCCCGAGCTCGATACTTTGCTCGGAGCCGGTAACCCTTCTCGAACTTGCTAGTTCTCCTTCATTGTATCTGAGGTTCGAGAGATCAATTCTGCATTCGCTAATAGTGCAAAGGTCCGAGTGATTTTGGAACAAATACTTCCCTCCATATTCAGTGTATCTTTGTTCCTTACACTGTCGAGCCTGAATATCATGATTCAGTTCGTCAATCTCAGACATCAGTGGATTTTGCAATCGCTTTATCTTCGACCATTGCATTGTTTGCTGCGATACAGTCGTGCCATCAAGGAAGTCGAATGAAGAAACGGCCATTGCCGGTTATTTAACTCCGGTCGGAACATTCTGAATTAAAAGTGTGTCTTTGGGCATTGCTTGCCTTCGACAAAATTGCACTCCTCGCCGTTGTATGCCATGAAAAGCTTACCGTTGGCTATCTGCCCATACAATTCGTAGCCAAGGGCTCGCACCGGGTGCATTCTGTGACCGACCTGCATGCTGTCAGGTTGATCACAATAGGCACGCAGGATGGTTAGCAGCTTGAGACTTCCCTTAAATATCAGGAAGCAAATGACGAGATTATCTGTATCCTCTCCTCGCCTATCAGGGCAGGTATGGGAGAAGCTTGAAAAAACAAGCATTGGTTATGATGAGCTGAATCCTGTCTGAGAAAAGAACCCACATTCGCCGGGATCTCTTGGTCCCGACAATCCGGGAGAGTAAAGATGAGGGTTGATTGGTAAGAAGAAGGAATGATAGAGAGAACGCTCAAGACGGCGATTGAGGTTTTGACTGGTAGGTCCGAAAGATAGCGCAAGATGTCCAGATATCAACTGAACTAAAAAACTGATATTGCGACCTTACACCTCCAAAGACACACACGGTAGCCCAAGTGTAGCGCTGGTTGTATAAAGCCATCCCCTCGTACGTGCGACGGTACACATTGAAGCTTCTGTTTGAGGGGCTTTCTTCTGAGCATCTGGATGCTTGCCGTCCTTGATGAGAAAGTCAACACCTCACCTTCCCAGGCGCAACAAAAGCGTACTTTGAATTCAAATAGAAGACGGTAGCATCTGTCCGCCTAAGATTAAAGATAGAAAGAATAAAACAACTAAACCCATCGGTGTCTGATTGCAACGACTCGGCTGCCGCTTGGTACGCTTGGGAACATTGTTGGTGGTTGACAAACGCCAGCTTATGCTGCGGGGATGAAGATGATTTGCCAAAATGACAGATCTTAGTTGGAATAAGCATGTGGTGCATAGCACCTGGATATCATGATGTTTGTTCGGCATTTGGTTGGTTGAGTACAAGCCGCTGGGGAATATTGGTTGGTAATCGACCAGCGTCAGCTCAATGATGAAGGCGTGACATCTGAAAAAGAAGTTTTGCATCTTCAAGCAAATGACGTGCTCTCTGCAACATGCACTCAATGCTATGTTCTAAATATCAGTCTTGCACGTTTGGACATTCCGGCTTTCAATTGCGCATGTTCAGGCATATGACCAATAGGCCAACCCCAGCACACAGAAACTGATAATCGCAAAGCGAGCTCAGTCTTAGACAGTCGCCAATGCATCCAGTCATTAACCGCCGAATTTCCTAAAGGCAGCGAGATGGCACATCCATTTCAGCACTTCGAGGCCACATCCACTAAGCAGATCAAAAAGCTCCGTCCTCAGACCTCTCATAGAAGTATCTGCCGCTTTTGGGATTCTTGAGAAATTTGGTTATCCAGTGCAATCTGTAACCGCATTGTAAGTTTCGCTGGGGAAGGTAATTGGTGAAACCAATTATTCTAGTTGAATCGTGTGCTCTTTGAAGGTGTCAACTCCTTGCGCAAGTCTTCCAGCGCAAAGTTTGTGTTTGCAGTGAGATTGTTCAGGAAGAAGAGAAGACCCCTTCCTCGCATCGATTTGAGGAGCTAATAATTATGCTCGGACTTGTCTTCTGCGCATATCGTTCTAGTACCTGATTTGTAATGCAGCGCTTATGTTGCAATGGTCACCATATCGCGTCGACCGAGCCTCGTAAATGAGCTCTTGGCCAATGTACTGCACATCAAGTGCGCAGACCCGGTAGTCTTTGTATTTCATAAATCCTTCGAAAGCTTAATTGGGACATGCTTCAAGACCTTGATTTGTCTTGATTTGAGAGGACTCTGGTTCACCACCCATTCCAGATATTGAAGATAGTAATTTAACGATCTGATCTTCCAGAGGCGATGAATCTGATTGTTTGTTCAGAGCTGAGCTGAGTTGCGCAATGCGCTCACTCGTTGCCGTAATATGATTCGCATGTTTGCAATCACCCAGCTATGTTGCACCGGTTAGACGGTGATTGGAGAAGCGGCGAATCTCCGCTGGGGACCGCAGCTTTCCACGGCCGCAAGAGCATCGAGTAACCCACAATCGCTCGGGTTTACACAACTGACCCTGTCATAAGAGAGGCGTTAACTGCTGAGTTCTATTGGTGGAACTCAGTAGTCAATAATCAGGTTTTCAATGAAGGTCATACTTGGGCAGTTCAGGTCATTATGAAAGCCACTCCGACTGTCGCATATGACTTCAGTTGGTCACTGCTCTAAGCTGCAACAGATTGATATCCATCACGTAAGATGTCTCTCGAGGATGTTCATGTAAAGTCCAACTAATTCGACCCGTAATATCTTGGGTCCACCAGATAACTTTGTTTTTGTTCACTCGGAAATCTTGGAATAACCAACCCAGATACCTGGATGAGCAACCCGTCGGGAATGTCGAGTATAGTAAGAGGTCGTATCGAAGAAAGTGCGAGTTCTATCGCTCGAGTTTGTACAGCTAGGCAATATCGATCAAGCCATTTGGGAAATCGAGATTAAGGTTTGCCAAAACCGAAAACTCCGACCGTGACTTCGGAAAGACAGCAGCGTTGAACCACGCGAGCTAATATTCCTATGCCGCCGCCAATCGGTCAGAAGAAATATAGATAGACACAGAGACCGGAAGCTTACCTTTATGCCAAGAAGGCTGAATTGGCTTACGCCAGGTCCTGTTCTCGGTATCAGTAAGTGGCAGAACCTAGTCAAAGAATCAGGAACCATACTTTCCGAAATGCTTCCCTTAGTACTTCTTTCTCCGGCTTCAAACCCCATGCAAGCTGAGTCTTATATGCTTTGGTCCATGAATTGGACCACTTGAACCACAGTTCATAGAAGATGAAAGTAAAACAACGGAGACTTAACTATAGATGAAAGGCTAGCTGCCTTGACACATGTCATATACCATAAGGATGCAACGATATTAGAATCTGATTGCCTCGAAGGAATTTGGCAGGCTGGTGGTAAGTTGAAGACGAGAGGAAGAGGACAGGAGGGGAGAGAGAGAAGAGATGGAGGAGGGTATAAATAGACGTGGCCAGAGACTCGCTTGGCAGAGATTGAATAGATAGAAACAGGTGAATCCGCAGAACAGTGGTTAATTCCATGGAGGGAAGTAAGAAGAGGTAGCGAGGGGTAGCAGAGTGAAGCCTACAACCAACTGGATGGTGAATTTAATTGAAGGTGTGAATACGCCTGGTTTGAATCCAACTGGTTCCGTGAATCAGATTGGCTCTGTGAATCCAACTGAGTATGTGAATCAGTAAGTGTAATGGTCAATAGAGCCAGCTACAGAAATAAAGATGCTCATGCAGGGCATACGATGTCTACTGGGTAATCAGGACATGTAAAGGCTTTGCAGGGTATATGAGGGCTATGGATAGTATGTGAGCCCTAAGCGGGACGCAGCGCCTATGCAGGGCGCATGGGATCTATATAGGGCATAAGCCCTAAACAGGCATATCATATGCCCTGCGGGTCAAAAGTTGAATATTGGCATCTGATTGTCCGGCTGGATGATCAGATGCCTATATCAACTTTGGGAAGCGGTTCGCAATACACATAGGGAGTAGACAAACAGAAAAGCAAGTCAATTACCAGCGACTGAGCTCGCAAAAAAAAAAAAAAAAAAAAAAAAAAAATTAGAATGATCAACTTTTCTCTAATAACGAAGTAACTATAGTTGAAGATACAGATATGGGTGACCTATATCTTAAACTAATATCTGTATACTCTTCGTCGCCTTCAAGGTGCAGTAGGTAGCCTCATTACCAACCGGCCCCTCGAAAACCAACGACGATTTGACTAGGAAAAGACAGACGATAGCGAGTATAAGAATAGGCAGAATGGAAATTCAAGCACGAAGACCGCGCGCATAGAATGCAAAGAGAAACTGGGACTTGACTGTTGGGTTACATGCACAGAAAGATCCGAAGCATTTGCGCTACGAAACCAATGCATTATTGACTTATTATTATTCCGAGTAGGATATACTCGAGTATGTTTTGTTGGCACCCGTCAACAATACCGATTAACTATCAGGATCTCTTTATAACAAGCGCACTAAACAAGCATGTGCCCTTAAAGAAGAAGGAGAATGACAGCCCCTCGGCCGGTTATATCATATAATCACTGGCAGAAAATCCAATTATCAGAAGTTGAACATTTACCGCAATCAGAATTCCAGCACTAATATGGGTACGTTGTCTCGGAACGTAATGGGATTTGAAAACTCGAACCACCTGGATAGTGCCCATTCCAAGCGTTGTCTCATTTCCATACCGCGTCAAATGGCCACAGCAAGTCGAATATATAAACATCATATCAAGATTTTGACCCCAAGCAGCACAAAGGGAAAAGTTCGAACGAGGACTACAAAGCAAAGGCAGAACAATTACAACTCCAACAAGACCTTCACCACCATCACAACCACAGCAACAACCACCACCATCATCATCCTCCGCACCACGGACCGCAACCTAACGCGCTGCTCGACCGCCACCTTCCACCCGGACGGTCTCGCCCGGCCCTCCCCGCCAGCGCAGCACAGGCCATGTGTCGAGTAACCTCGCCCCTCCTTGGCCCTGGAACCCCGAAGAAACAGATCTAATTCACGCCGGCTATCGACCCGCCTACTCTTCAATTCAATTCAATTCAATTCATGTCCTATCAACCTAAGGAGCCTCATGAGAGACTCGGCCCGCCTATTGCAGCTCAGCTATGAAGGTGGTCGAGACCGAGAACATGCCTGTACACCCTTTGACTCCCTGAAAAACCAAAAGATATATCTAGCGTTGTAAATAACGGCTTCAGCGGCTGTTCTCAGTCTCCCCTTGCGTATTTTCATAGCTTTGCATCCTCCCTGTGACCTCGGGTTGATGGGTCCAATTACACAGCATCTTCAGCAACTAAGTATACCCATTGCCCGAAGGCCTATCGGTTCATTGGCACCGGCAATTTCGGCCACACCGACGTGGTTGAATTGGCCACCCGCCCACCCTCCTCTAACTCCCCCTGCTCCCAAACTCGACGCCTCAACCGAACCAGCACGAGCATCAACATCAGCACCAACTCCTCAAACTACAACCCAGCTCAAACCCAACAGAAAAGACAGAATGGGAAGATGGATGGTGAAGAGAAAGAGTTATCCGAATTCGCCTTCAGAGTCTTATCATGCGCATTTGCCAAACGACCTTTTCCTCGGCTGCAACCCACAGAACCACGCAAAGCATTCCCTCGATAGATTCCCGCCATCTGTGACAAAGACCAGGGGGTACTAGAACCGGATAATTCCAGGCAACTGCAGAGGGCACCCCCCTGAGAGTAAGCCGATTAATTCCAAGCTATGGAATATGCGCCAGGAACGGGAGGATCTAGATCAATCACTTGAGTATATGGACAACAATATTGCGGGTCAGCCGAAGGCTGTGCAGAAGTCTAACCATCTAGTCAGGTCTATCCGCAGCCGTCAAAAGCCGAACGAATGCCATCCTAGACTTGTCCTCACGGTTAGGAGAGGGTTTCGAGTTAGCTGGGATGACCTTCCGAGAAAGAGGCATTATGAAATTAAAAATCATGGAGTACCATTACTTATCTTTAGATCTGCCGGTAGATCAACCCGGTGGATCCGATGCTGCGTGTAATCCCGAGGCCTCTTGGAGAGTTTCGCACTGCTGCAACCGAGCTTGATGCAGCTTTAAGCTCTTTCTCCGGACTTGTCAAATGCCTTTGGAAGGTAGGATGCGGTCATGTTCGGGCTCCCTGGACCGCGTGCGGGTCTTAGACGCGGATCCTGAAAAATTGAGCAGTGTGTTCCCCTGGAGCTTTTTGATATCAACCACTGCTCTAACCGTTGGGCGTTTGCTCAACACATAATCTGTGGTCAGGTTCTGTCTGTTTTATAAGTAAGCTTTTACTTATCTAAGCTTACCTTACTTCTTTATCTTTTTTTCATATTACTTTCTTTCTTAATCTTAAATCTACAGACTCTATATTAGTAAGTTCTATCAACTACTTCTAATCTGTAGAATATATTTTTCTCTTTCTTCAGACGCGTACTCGATAACTTTCTATTGTTTATATGCATATTATTATATAAGGGCTGACTGACGTAATTCTCATGCAGAAATCAATCAGCGAGAAAAGCCCAGGCAGGTTCTGATTGGATCTAGACAACAGTATTGGTTCTCTGGTTGGCTTTTTAAGTCTTATCTGTGATCTCGAATAAGACCTATATTGAGAGCTCGTACAGAGTATAATAAGCTCCTCTCGCAAGTCGTCGAACCGGCCCAAAAAAACGCATTGCAACCGTTGACAGGGTCTGCCCCTGGGGCGGACTCTGTCGTACCGCCCGCGCGCAGGATCCTGGTCTTCTCAGTACCCTCGTCTGACGCGGTGGGCGCGGACAGATAGCACATATTCCTTTTCAAGGCATGCTGCTCATACAATTGTGCCATTATCATGACCGTGCGACGCACCTCGTGGATGTCCACATCGGTTAACCTCCACCAGGGCTTACCGCGTTCGTCGTTCTCAACCCCGACGTTGCAATGCTTGGCGGCGGCGTACAGCGCGGCAGCGGCGGCGATATCGCGGGCAGTGGACTGTAGTCAGAAGACAGTTGAAATTGAATCGTTGACGAAGGCACGGGAGGCATTGCGCATCTGTTTCTTCCTAGAATGAGTATCCCTTCTCATCCTCGAGATCAGCCGGTATGTGATTGAAGCGGATTCGGTGCTGCTTGTACTCAAGAGGTCTCTGAGAGTGTTTCACACTGCTGCTTTTGAGCTTGATGCAACTTTTGAGCGCCTTGATCAGACTCGTTGAGTGCCTTTCAAAGACCCGGCATAAGTACACCAGCCAGTTTCGATTGTTTGATTGATCAATTGACTGAAGTTTTATCCCGAGTATACTTTTCTCTGCAACGCTCTTTCCGGTTTGCAGGCGGCGAATGTGGCTTACCAGCGGCAAAAGAACATAGCGCGCGGAGTGAAAGGTGCGCCTGCATTCTTAAAATTTTGGATGAGTAGGTGGCTCCTGAATCAGTCATGTCATCGCTACATGAATAGCTGTCACAGGCCTCATTCATGCTCTGCTCTATCTGGAGCATTTATACCTCCCTGGTCAACGGCAGTCAGGTGCTACTACAGTCAGCTCACTGAAAAACCTTAATGGTGACCACTGACCACAGGAGCATCAAACTGGAAGAGTCTTTGCTAATGTACGAGTACCGCACGCGTTCTGGTATCGGCGCTTTTTCAACCTCGGGGGTATAGTGCAACACCCAGCACCTGCATCATTCCCATTAGGAGCGATTTCATTTTCCTTCAGAAGAGTGTCTTCCTGTTGCCATTGCTCTTTGCACTAGCCACATTATCCTGGCAAAGTGTTCCTAGGCTTTCTTGGTGAGCCCGGGCCATTGCCCTGGTTGTCTCTAGTTCTCCCTGCTGCGTATCCGCCAACTCCTGATTTATCTTGACCGATTCTTGGTGTAGACAAATGTTGATTTCACGACGGTCTTTCCAGTGCGCAACAATGACGAAATCCAAACGGCAAAAGCAACAAGATGAGAACAGGCAGGGCATGCCGACAAGACACTTCCGAGGCAGAACGAGACGACGCGCAGATACAAAGAAGACAGGCAGTCAATTGATAATATAAAGCTCCCTAACAGGGGTGGCTGGGAAGAAAGCATATTATGTAGAGAAATAGTAGTTGTAAGAAATTGGTTTCGGATAGAGAACCCTGCTTGTGTTAATGAAAAACCAGGGCAGAGGGGTTGATGTATATAAAAACCATGACTAGACCGTTTGGACGACCAGAATGTAGATAGGTCAACACAGCATGGATGCAAGAACACCAGGAGTAAACAATAGCCACCAATTTACAGTGGACATAGAAGCCTCGAGAGGCTTATGGGGTGACAGGACGCGCGAATTGAAGACAGCAAAAGCAACAAGCGATAAAAAGGCAGAGATAAGACGAGTCAAATAGAAGCAACGCAGAATTGAAGACGACCATGAACGATAGTTCGAATACAAGTCTGACCCTGCGGCTTGTTGTCTCATTACCATGGAAGATGTAGAAGCTATTGTTGAGTGAGTCTGCTTCTCGAATCTCGGCTTCTTATCTTTGGCGGAAACCTGAGTATACCGTGGAGCATCAACTCATCTGTCATGCCATTCTCTTGAGCTGCGCAATCAACCAGGCTCGCAATGCGTTCCCAGCTAGTACCATCAGATGAAGTGTCTTCACCATTGGGGAGGATTTGCTCGGCATCAGCAAAGTCTAGGCGGACAATTAGGGTTGTAATGTCATACAAGTTCCGCGATCCGGTATTACCTGCTCTTGCCCGATTCCCTTGGCCCCGCACGGAGAACAGAGAAGGTTGATAACTTCCATGCCTATGCAGTTCAACACTTTCCGCAGATCGACCCTGACGCGCCGCAGGGTCTGGCCCTGCGCCTTGTGAATGGACAAAGCCCAGGACAGGATCAACGGCACCTGCTGGCGCTGCCCCTGCACCTCGCCGTTGGGGAGCTCGATCTTGCGAATCTCGAGCTGGCAAAGCGGATGCCGCGTTGTCTTCGCCCGTTGACAGGAGGAAGGGGCCACAGTATCCATCTGGTCCTCTGGTATTCCTTGATGACCTTTCACCATGTTTGTCAGATTTTGATCTCTTTTCTTGGCTCGGATTTCCGTCTTGTCTTATTCCTTCTTTTCGCCCTCTAATTTTTCGCTGTGCTTTTTCACGTCTGCAGTGTGCTTCAGGCTTCTTCTTCTCTTCGGCGAAATCTCACTCGACATCAGAAACCTTCTTCATTTGACCCTTGATTCCGAAAGATCAACATGACCGATGCAATGAGTTGTTGCCCTTACATATTTGGAGCCGGCCTCCACCAATCCTTCCCCCCCCCGTCCAGCCATGTTTTGATGAGATTTACATGGCGCCTGTGCAGCCCCCTCAGGGAATCGAAGTGTTCGATGGTGCGATCGCACGGTTTGACCACGTTGAATGTCCAGTGAGATTTGTCATGGGTAGGCACAAAGACTGTGTCGACGTTGAGAAGGATCTTGCCTTGACTCGTTGAGGAGGGCCTTGCCTCCAAATTTGGCCCGTGTCGCCCACCTGTTGACAGACTGGGCAAGGGGTTTAAACTTCTTGCAGGCCCGCGACATGATCGGCTTAGCTTCCGAACACAAAGCGCTTGGGAATCTCCCTTATCAGCACTTCTGTAACCCGCGTCCACTCATACCATCTGGGTCAGAGCAATCAGTCAAATATGATACTCGTCCGCCCAGTCCCCTATTTGCTTTCCCATCATCGGTAATTGCGCAGAAAGATGATAAATATGAATCGAAGCTTGACCTGAAGACATCGCCTGTGTTCAACACATGGTATAGAATCAGCAACATTGGCTCTCCCAAGATCGTGGGGCCAATTCGCAACAATCAGATCGAGGCGGTTAACTGTTAGTCAGAAAGGCCGAGTTACACAGGCCTTCAAGAAATATGCCGCCAGCATGCATCTCATATCACTCGCCCGAATAAGTCCGCCGCCCATATGTCTAGACATCGATCGATCTGAGAATCGGAACAGCATCCAGACCATAGGCAAGGGAACCGGTGCAGGTGCATATCTTGCGATGTCGTCGTTGTCGATATCCTTCTCAACATAGTAGTCGAAGGTCACCTCGTCGACTGGCGTGACCCTTCCCCCATGGTCACAGTCGCGAGCACACCTTAAGCGAGAGACTTAAGAATGAACTAGACAACTTCCGTCCGGTGTGTCACCTACAGGAGTCTTTCGATAGGTGACCATTCAAATCCTTCTCTGACGCTGCTTTAATCTGAAGCTGCTTGTCGTGGGGGGCGAATGACCGGGCTCTTATCAGATTTCTCCTGAGGCTTCTTCTTCTCCTCACCTTGAGCAACATCGGGTGTCGGCCAGAGGTTGGCATCTCTCAAAGGAGGAATGCCGGCACTCTCATCCCGCCCCTTGCCACCGTCGTCGGCACTTTCCCTGGCCATTGGTTCCTTCGTCTTAGGAGATTTCGCGGACTCCTGCCGATGATCGCCTGACGTCGAGGAAGCGGCGAACGTGGTCTTGGAAGGTCGAGTCTTGGTAGCAGACTTCAAAGCAGCCAGAGCCTTGACTCTAACATCCGGTGCTCATTTGCGCTGGTGCCAGATGTTGACTGCAGGGAGAGAGGCCGCCTTCATCTAACCGGTACGCTCTTCTCCTTCTCGTCCGTCTTGTCGAATCCAAAATCTCTGCAGGCGCGAGTATCGGAAGTTGTGGTTACCTGGCTACTCCGGGGCTGCCGCAGGAGTGGCAATCGCGCGTAATGCGCACACGCCGGGGCATTATAATCAATCCCAGAACACAACTTGATGACGCTACCGAGGTTGCTGTGACTGTGTAGTGCTCGGCCCCCATGGAAGTATCTCGGATGGCTGCGCTAGGCTTTTGGCAAGCGCTACTTCTGGAGCCGCCAGAGCATCTGTTGTTGACCTCAGCTAGCTCATTCAAGCACTGTGAAGAAGGGCCCACGGTGTCTCTTCGTCGAATATTGTCCTCGCAACTCGCACAACCAGGATATGATCTTGAACTCGCCGCATTATCGGGGCAAGGACGTCTCTTGCTGGATCGACCAACTTCGACCTAGCTCTACCAGCACTCATGGACCAATGATCTCTCCAGTACCATGCAGGAGTAGTAAAAGATCAACTTGACGTACGATGGCGATGGCGAACGAAAGTGCGGCGACCATTGATATAGTTGCCGTGGCGATGGGGAAGAACGAAGAAGACCACGCTAAGCATTCGAGAATTGACCGAGCTTTACCACCCCGGTAATCTGGACCTAAGGGACGATACAAATCCAATGCCGAGAAGTAATTTGCCCGGCGGATTGCAGATGGCGCATGGGTGTCTACAGATGTAGGTTGCTGTTGGTGTGATCCCGAGAACAGCGTTACTGAGCAGGTCTGCAGCCATCGCATCTCAGACAACAGCGAGATCTTTCCTGGCTGTTAATAGCACTGATTCCAGCTATTCCCGTAGAATCTCGCAGTGGGGAGGGGCCCACTCTTAGCGCTGATAATGCGTGGGGCGTTGCAGAATAACACACTGTTGCTCATCCGCATTTCCCGCGTCGTGCGAGGGAAGCGAAATGCCTGCTGGCCCTGCCTCAACCAAAGCTGCCGCAAGTTAATACAGTGTCGTCGACCGTGGGCGGTCAAAAACCCACACAACCAAATTCGATCCAACAAAACTTTTGGCGTCAAGTTCCGACCGACGATCCCACAATCCAACCAAATTCCCACCATCGCGCCACAAGCACCTGAGAAGCTTTCTGTCTTACTTAATCTTATTGGAATTGTAATCCTAAGTGTGGTCCTAGAACTAAAATAGCATAAAATACACAAGGCACATCCCGTGGTAGTAGTGGTTCCCTCCGTGCCAGTGAAGTCAAATTTACAGGTTGCCCTGACCGGCGCTGGAGGCAGGGCCGGTGCCAGCAGCGGTGGGGGTAGGAAGGGTATCATCCTTGAAGGCGTTCAGGGCAGTGGTAGCGGTACCAGTGAGGTCACCGCTGTTGGAATTGGCAATACAAGAACGGCCGATATAAGAAGAACAGGTAGAGGAAGTACTATCAGAGGAAAAAAGAGCACCTTTGAAGGAACTAGACTCGAGAACAGTATTCACATTCTCAAAGTAGTTACCTTCGGCAAGAACGTAGCCGCCGGAGCCGATCTCGAAGGCGTGGCCGGAGTTATCCTGCCAGAAATTGTTGTATGCGTGTAGGTAGGTGTTGTCCTGAACCTTGGGGGCACGGCCGCTGGTCTTGTACAAATAGTTGCCGGAGAAGGTCACCTTATCGCTGGAACCATCGAGATAGACATTCCAATAGTGGTGATTATCACAGGTTGCAGAGTAGTCGGATTCACCGTCGATGTAGTTGTTGGTGATGGAGACGCGGTTGTCGGCGGAGGTGCCGAGAACGTAGTGCTGACGACCAATGCGAGCAGTCTACCACAATAAGGTTAGATGGGAAAGTTAGATCAAGAGATTAGATATAAGCTAAGATAAACTTACGGTAACATGATCAATCCAGACAAGGTCCGCGTCGTCAAGGGTGATGGCATCACCGCCCCAGACGTACTCAGCGTTGATGTCCGTGACAGCAATGTTCTGGATGATGATGTTGGAGACCCCGCTGACCATGCGGAGACCCTTACCCTTGATAACACCAGAGGTGCCCTCGCCAATCAGGGACTTGTTGGAACCGACAGTGATACCGAGGGAACCGGCGTTGTCGTAAGTCACGGAGACAGAGGGAGCATCGGGCTCGTAGTTCGTGCACCAGTCATCCTTGTTGATGGCCACCTGGCAGCCTGAGGCAGTACCCCAAGGAGCACATCCAGTAGCTGTGGTTGTTCCCTCAGTGCCAGTGAAGTCGAAAGTCTTGCTCAAGACGATGACACGCTCCTCATCATCACCGAGATATGAGACCAGCTCATCGGTGGTGGACGGGTAAACGGGAGTGGCAGAACCACCGCCGGTAGCGGAGGCGGCGAAGCCGACGGGGGAGCCCGAAACGCCGACGGCAACAGCCCGCTGGGCGAGAGCCGCAACAGCGGTGAGAACAGCAGCGTACTTCATCCTGGAAGTTGGGTCTGGTGAGTAAAAAAGAATGACTGAATTGAACAAAAGAAAGCAGGGAATAGAGAGGAAAGAACGACAGAGAGTGTGTGAGTTGTGAGCCAGAAAGGAAAGGATGTGACTTGTGCTGACGGCTGGATCCTTATATAGCTTCTGATGATGCCCTGATCCATCCCCTTCTCCTTGACCTCTTCTCATGAGACCATGATGAATCTGTCTCGGGCACGCTTGGCAAGCCTCACGGAGTCAACGGATGAAGCGGAGGAGCAAGGTGAGGTCCACGACGAGTGGGGAAGCTGATACTGGGAGAATCGTTCTGTGGGTGGGTCCGAGCGAGAAGACTCAGAGAGGAATAAACAATTTAGAGTGCTCCGTAGTCCGCTGAGCACCTTAACATCGAGTCCAAGGTTATGGGTCCAGAAGCCGGTAATGCCACTGTCGATCGGTGGGCACTGGATTGCGATCGGCCGCGTAAAGGCAGGAAGCCCTGAAACACACCCACCGACAACGGCCAGTCACCGTGGGCGACGGCTCGGAGATACAGCCAAGAGCAGTAGTGGAGCCGCCGGTGCTTAATGTCTGGTTCTGATCCCGTTTCGCATTGATGGCGGCTGCCGTGCGGGTTTCATAGCGCGAGCGCTATCTAACCTCGGACTGCTGGCGGGCACCCCAGCTTTTCCGTGGGAGGAGGCTGCATGACGTGGCCCGTAGCCAGACTGCTGCGAGACTAGACTCACTCTACAGATTTGGGTGAGACGGAAGCTGTCCGAGCAAGCGCAATCAAGGATTTAGTGATAGTCATTGAGTAATGGACTTCGAGTTAGGGCTTGCTGCCTGCCTGAGGTTCCCGTCGAACGACCCCATCAACCACGAGTAGTCAATCAACCATCCACAACAAATGATGAATGATTACAGATGATGATCCTCCTTAAGGTTAAAATTTCTCTCGACGACTCTAAGCCTTATCCGGTAAAGTTCTTAGACGGGATGTGAAATTCCCCATTTTTCCAGTTCCTGGTTGAGTTTAGTGGCAGGCACTGGGGCCACCCGCTCTCCACTGTGAATCGGTGGTTGGTTCTGCACTGTGGAGATTCCCCTTTCCCTGGCCGATCATCCCAACTTAAGTATGGTCGCATATTTTCTGTATGGATGCAATGCATTAATATCATCATCGCATTATTATCGTCGTTACTTGCGTCACTCACATTATTCATGGCCATAGCCCCGAGCATATGTGTCAAAGGTATTGTTACCAGCGCACCGCATAGGGCTTCATAGTGGGGCTTGGCATCACTGAACAAGAACACGAATACGATTACACCTTAGATCGAATGGCTACTCCCCAGTATCTCATGTAACCACTGCTGCGCTGGAGGATCATGCCAGATCCCTGAGCACCACGAGCCCACTCTTGCCTTCTTGGCCTATGCTTAATTTCAACAGCCCCATCTCTTATCCACCGCCACCACTCAAAAATCCCAACAACCTCATCAATATCCGGGAGATTGCGGAAAGACACAGGTTCCAGTCTGCAGCCCACCAAGAACGGCAGACAGATTAAGCTTCTTCTCTCGACCTTCTCCGGATGGAACTTCCGTCGACGAAAGCCGAATCATTCCTGCGCATGTCTCACCATCTCCATCCACTAGATTAAAGCACGTCATGTCTTGGTCTACACGTGGATCGAACAATCAGAGAAAGGGGAGCTTGTCTACGCGGTCCTCGTATCGACTGAGGGCTCTTGCTCTTTGAAGGCAAATTCCCGCATTTGGCCATCAATATTAATATACGGGCCAAGGCTGGCTTGCGTATGCTCGCGATACACCGCTTGTTGGTTTTGTGGTTTGTTAATTTGAACATGACTCCGTTCTATGAAATGTATATGATGCTGCTGAATCAGAGATTTATCATCACTGCATCGAGCCACATATAGTATATGTGCAATCAGAGTGATATCATTCTTGCTGCAGGAAAGCATACCTTGTGTGAGTAAGTGGTCGCTACTTCAAAGTGCTGATTACCTAGAGTCCTCGAGTCGCCTCGTAGTATAAAACTCTCACTGGTTCTGTTCTGTTGTTGGGCTAGCATGCAGCTGTCAAGCTTCCGCATCGCGCTCTCGTCATTGTATGTGAGACCTGACCTGGTATGGGGCTAGGAACATAATTAGGGCTACTGACTCGGACACAAGAGCTTGGAAAAATCTGTTAGCGTCGACCTCTCACCTCATGGTCTCGATAGCGAGTCACTTGAAAACAAATAAGCAGCTCTCTATCGATCTGAAGAAGATGTAGTAGGTCGTGAGCTTTTAATTAACACCTCCCTGCTGATCCACGAGTACGGAGTGCCAGACAGATGTAAATGAGCAAAAAGTACTTTCAGGAGAGTTGTTCGCGGGCATGAAGAAGTCTACAACTTGGAGCCACTCATTGCTCTAGTAAATCAGCTTGCCAATTATCCAACCCTTTATCATCTATGCAGAAGCGTCCCTCCTCCCCAGCACAACATCGCGGATAGCATCTGCCACATAGTCCACATTTCCCTCAGTCAAACCACATATGCTGACTCTTCCCGACGGCAAGAGATAGATATGATACTCGTCCCGCAACCGAGCCACCTGCTCCGTCTCCAGGCCCGTATAACTAAACATCCCAATCTGCTTCTCAACATGGGACCAGTCCCCGGGGGTCCCATTCAGCTCCAACCTCGTCCGCAACGCACTCCTCATCCTCGCAATGCGAGCACTCATCGTCCGCAGATCCTGCTCCCACTGCGTCCGCAGCTTCGAATCGCCAAGCACTGTCTCAACAATCGTCGCCCCAAAGCGCGGGGGATTCGAGTACTCCGCCCGCGCCATGCCAACCAGCTGCGACCGCGCCCCTCCCACCCCCATTCCCCTGGGTACCACCAAATGCAACGCCCCGACCCGCTCACCATACAGCCCAAAGTTCTTCGAGAACGATTGCGCTACACAGAGACCCGGAGACCCTTGCTCCCCCTCCGGCTGGGTGCCAAGCAACTGCTCGGCGAAATACCGCACCGCCCACGCATCCCCATCGACATCCCCCGTCGCGAACCCCTGGTACGCACTATCAAAGACCACAAACAGGCGCTTGCGGCGCACGACCTCCAGCAAGATCTCCCACTGGGCGCGGGTCAGATCCAGGCCCGTCGGGTTATGCGCGCAGGCCTGCAGGATGATCACGTCGTGGGGCGCGGCGTGCTCGTCCAGCACGGCACACATCCCCTCCAGATCGACCCCGCGGGTGGTCGGCGAGTAGTACGGGTAGTCGATCTGCGGCACCGAGATCGTCGCCCAGATGGACTTGTGGTTCACCCA